GTGGCCGTGTGTGAGGGTGCGATAGAGAGGGAGAGGGAGACGGAGGAAGAGAGAGTGTGTGGGAGCAAGAAAAGGAGTGGACCGACGGGAGTGTGCAAGGAGACTTCTCAGGCGTTGATAGGCAATCTAGTTGATTGCCAACTTCAAACGAACCGAAAAAAGCGGAGCGAGGAGGAGAGACGAGCCGGTGTACGAGCCGGTGGAAAGGCAAAGCCTCGACGCGAACCGGCGCGAATCTCGGAATTTTTAGACAATGCGATCCGCACAGTTCCCGCATTCCGACCCCCCTTCCTTCTCACCACCACCGATTAACGCGCTGGTGCCAAGCGAATCGATCATACGCCATTTACCATCCCCGAACATTCGTCGCCTCCTCGCTATCGCCTATTTAATCCTTATATACCTACACCCCGGTGTGCCTACGTGTTGCCAATTTTCTTCTAGTCGATCTACTATAATTTCTCTCCACGCGTGCGAACACGTTTCTTACTGGAAATCCTTCTTCTCCTTAAATACCGTGCGTTTTCGAATAATAAGAGAATTAAAGATTCTTCGGAAAGCGAAAGTTTTGCTTTCCGAATGGATACATCTCTTATTACGTATATCTTTCTTTTTCTCTTCGATCTCTAAATTTTAAATTTCCGTGAATCAACAAATGTTCGATATTCTTACCACGAATTTTTCAGAGAATTTATCTGAATCAGGGGAACAAAGGATCGTTGATCGACCAGGGCTATTCAACGCGACAGATCCTGCGAAATTTTCAATTTTCGTTTGGCGTAATCGATCTCACGACGATCGATATAATTATTATCGGGGACAAATCGAGCGGTTGCTCGGTCTGTGCTCTCGTCTTTAAGTCTGGCCAAGATTTAAGACAAAAAGAACGAATGAAGTGCGCCAAATAAATGCGTACTGTAAGACGAGGTGCTAGAGTGACGTTTGAATGGAAGGGCAGATCCTTTGTGCTGCACCGGGAACCCGACACCCGAAAATCGTTCTCAAAAAATTCGTTATACGGATAAAATTTACTCGCTGCTCCGACCATCGTTGTTTATTATCGCGATATCATTTTGACCATAAAACGTCGTTTTATTCCATTAATCATTTCGATATTTCTCTTTTACATTCATCAAAATTTCTATTTCAACTTATGTAAATTATTCCAAGATGGATCGAGTTTCTTATACGTACAACTTCTTCTTTTTAACCGGTTAACGAACTTAATTAATTCTTCTCAAAGTTTCTTCTCAAATGATTCCATACACGAACACTAGTATATCAAAAACTAGCGACTGTATAATAATTAAAAGAGAGGCGAAAAAAAAAAATCTTATATAAACGAAACCCTGAGCTTTCGTCCATGGAAGTTGAGAACAGTTTGCTCGAGTGCGGCCATTTTTACGTTTTGTCGAGGTTCTTTGTGTTTTGGTGAGACATTGCAGGTCTGCCCAACACTCAACTCATTATACCACTAATTATTCATAACGTTGGGGATTATTCTGACAAAAATATTCAATTCCCACAGTGCACTCACCCCGGCACTACCCCTCTTTCTTTGCCTTATTCTTTCTCTCCGACTCATCTAACGTATCTGACGTTGATCCCCCGTAAAACAGCGAGTGATTTCTTCTGCCGTTCCAACAATCTCAAATCTACCTTTCTTCCGCGTTCGCGAAAATTTCCAATTCTCGAGGAGATTCCCGAGATACAATTTGTACAACCGTTGTTAGATAGAGTAGATATCATAGGTCACAGCTGTTGATCGAGCAAACTCGACTTGTTTGCACGTAAAATCGACGTAATGATTTCATTTCGAGGCGTGAAGCTCTGGTCAGCTGTTCCTTTTTCCCAAAAATAGGCGAAAACTGGCAAACTACAATAGATAGGGAGAGAGAGAGAGAGAGAGAGAGAATTCTCTACTCGACGGATACACGACGAGGAAAGTCGCCTCGTCGATTTTCGGTAACACGATCTTGAGTGGCTCTCTGTTAAATGATATCCGTAAGTGGCACGTTAAGTGCTCGTTTCACGGTGGGACGACGATACGCCTATTAATTTACTTCAACCGACACGTGAGGGTTCATCCTTGTCTAAAGGTTGAAAAGCAATCCCCCTGATTGCCGATCAATGCTTTATTACGACGTCGACGTATCGATGGTGATGATGATGAAGAATGAATCGGTTGCAAACGTTCGTTAACAGTTCGTGAACGGGGAGGGAGGGGGGATCAATGGGAGCGGGAATCGAGGCACCGCGGTTTTTTAATTGGTTTCTCGGTTTTCTTTTTCTTTCGCGCACACCCCCCGGTGTACCCGTGTAAGGAGCAACCGTGTTGTAAAAGGAAGTGCGGTTTGTATAGCGGCGTGGCGGAACGCCGTTCACAACGTCTCCTCTTCCGTTCAAAAGTTCAGCTCACTATTATTGTAAAAATTCGCGTCTAGGTAAGGAGAGAGAGAGAGGCGCGATGTAACGACGACGGCGGTCTCGAGATCCTTGTTCCTTCTTCCTTCAACGGGGATCCGTTTCCACCCTCTCTTCTCGTACCCTCGGCCAAGATGTAGGTCTTAACGAGAACGTAGGTGTTAAGATTGAATGAAGTGGTCGCTTGTTACCCGGTCACAATACGCGCACGGTTGTTGTGTAAAATTAATTATCAATTCTTCGTTCCCTTACCTCCCCCCCCCTTTCCCCCCTTCCCTTAGCGGAATGAAAATGAAACAGTTAGAGGTTCCATTCGTGGAATAAATGGTACGGTTATAATTGTCCAAGTACAATGGGGCTCGCGAGCGAAACGATTCGATGGAAACAATGTCATCTTAATCGTCATCTATAAATAAACGGGGCAAGTTTTAATGATAATGACGCATTAACGCTCGCCACGCGGCTCGATGTTGTTCCGCCGGTCCAGCTTCCAGTTGGAAGGAACGAGCGATAAGAAATTCGCGACGGAGCCATTTTCCCGTGGAAAAGCGTTTATAGTTTTCTTCTAAGGGATCGTTGATTAAGGGAGCCGGGTAGCCATCTGGATATTATTAACGTTACAATTTAATCTTAACGAAACGTTTGAATAACGGGGAAATTCGTTAATCGAGGTAATCGTTGCCTCGAAATTATTTTTCCTAATATTTTTCGATCAAACGACAGAGACGTACGTAATTGATTATACTCATTTAATCTAACACGCATTTAAATAAACTTTACAACATACGCATGCGTAATTTTTGGAAAATGAGAGAGAAACTCGACCATCAACGAATACAATACAAGCCAAATATATACCGAATACCGTCTTATTCTTTAGATCTTAGACGTCCAAACTTCTAAAGTAAACACTATTCAAAAATCAAACATTGCATTGTATAACGTAAACGATCATCGGTATCGACCTATGTAAATGTTACAATTATCCATAAGATGTTGATATATATATTCGAAACCATTTGAAATAGTTAATCAATTGTTAAATTAGCTCGAGTAAATTTCGCGCGATCGACGCACGATTGACCGGTTGAACGGTCCAAAGAATCCAAAGATGTAAACGTAGGCGAAAGAAAGGATGATATTAAGGATGATAACTCACCATGGGGTGGCGTGTGCTGACTCGGACTGTGCTGATGATGGTTCGCGGTGACTGCGGTACCCGGAAGTACATGCTGCGCGTGTGCACCCGGATGCACGTTGACACCGGCCGGTGAGGCCGGAAGTTGTCCCGGTTGATGTACCTGATGATGCGGTACGTGGTGCGCGGGGTGGGGGTGGGGCGGCGGCAGGAAGGCAGCGGCGACGGCCGCCTGCGCATTCAGATAGGCCATCCGCGAGGCCGTGAGGTTGCCCAGATTCCCAAGATTCCCCAGATTGCCCAGATGATTGGTCAGGCTGGGCATGTAGTCCCATAGCTTGTGATGAGGCGCCGTGGGCGCGTAAGAAACGGCCGAGACGCCGGCCGGCGGTGATCCTTGGGGCGAGCCGCGATCGGTACCGCTTCCGTTTCCGGTACCGTTCAGCCCCAGCAGCTCCTGGATCGCGAACGGCGATCGCTGCGGCATCTTTGCGTTTCTCACCGATTATTATCGCGTCTCAAAACGGCATTATTCCCTTTTATCGAGATTTATCGTTTAATATCGCGGTCGCAACGATCCTTCTTTTTTTTCTTCTATCCAATCCCCCTGGTCAATGGCGCATGTTGAGCGTTGACTCGTTGAAAGAACAAGTTTCAAGAAGATCGTTGTTTCTCCGTCTGGCAAGCTATTCGATCAAATAGTTTCGAATAGTTGTTTTCTCGTTGCTGTTTCGTATCGAGATCGAGCCTCGATTCGTAGGAACTTTTGTTTTTTTTCTCTTTTCTTTCTTTCTTTCTCTCTCTAAGATTCCGAGCGTTGGAGAAAGGCTCGAATTCGTTGGGTTTCGTTCGAACCGTTACTCGATCGTTTACGGACGATCAAAAATTGTGGAACGATTCTCTTTCTGTACGGCGAAACGAGGAGGAATAGAAAAGAACGAGGCTATCGGCGTGGCTAGGCCTTGACACAACGCTTGCTCGAGATCCGACGGTTTGCGGCGAGCACTCGCATATTTCTCTATCTTGACTCGAGAATAGGAAAAGGAAATCGATCTCTACTTCGATAGGCTTGCTACGAAACGATAGCTAATTGAGCGGTTCAAAGTTGATTTTCTAAAATATACAACGAGTCTCGACTTGTAATAAAGCGAAGATTACTGACCGGGGAACCCGTCACCGGTTCTAAGTGTTTTCATAGATCTCCATCATTGACAATGCCGTGGAAAATGATGGTTCGTCGATAGATATTAGAATTACGAGCGACGTAAATTTAACTTATCTTCGTTGTAAAGGCGGAGAAGCCGGGGATCCGTCGAACGGAGAAACTGAGGAGCAAGTTGCGGCGAGCGACGGCAACCTGCGAGCGTCGACTCGACTGAAACGAATCGGCTTCTCTCGGTGATCGGCGCGATCGTATTATCTCGTATTATTTCGTTTCACACTCGAACACATCTACTCTGTCTAGAAAACTACGAACGCGTTCAATCTCGCACTTTCAGCCTAAGTCTGTTCGTTGAATTGCGGTTTTCGTTGTGATCAGGTACGGATTCCTGGGTTCATCGCTCGTTCGTTCGAGTATTAACCGAGACACGTCCAAATACAATCAGGGCCTTATCTCCAGTGTCCAGGAATTCTATTCAATACCTCGAGATAGCACGTGACGGGTTTCATTCATTCATCGCTCCTTGCCACCGAACAAAACTCTCCTTCGACCTCAACGATGCGCATGGAAATTCGTGGAACCGCTTTCTTTCATTCTCCTCGCGCGGGGATCGAATTTCAAGGACAACAGAATCTTCCTCCGCCTCCTCCTTCGCTATATTCCTTCGCTCGACGGGAAAGGCACTCGTGCACCGAGACTCTTCCGCCGGTATCTCATACGAGGCCAAAAAAAAAAAAAGGAGCGGAACGAGACGGCCAATATCCCTTGGACAGAGATCAAGAGCAACGTCCAACGTCCGTTCCCGATTCCTTTTCCATTCTTTCCTCTCCCGATCTCTCACACTTTTACCCTTCGTCTCCTCTTCCTCTCTCCCTTTCCTCTCCTTTCCTCGAGAACTCGTGCACACTGGTCAAATCGCGAGGATTCGTCGTTCGGCTTCACCGTACAGCCAAATAACACTGACAGCACCACCACAGCTAGTCAAAGATCGGACCCATGTAGCATATACTAAACTCCCATCGGTGGTCGTGTTCGATGGCCTTCCTCTCTTCTTCTTCTTCTCTCTCTCTCTCTCTCTCTCTCTCTC